AAAGGGAGAGGAAGATTGCTCAATGTAGGACATTTTGTCCAGTCTATAAAAAGGAATAACAAACCATTGGGTGTCTTTTCATCTCTGTGTTTGGCTGCTATGTTTGTGACAAGAAGAAAAATCTCTTTTGTCCCACTTTTCGGCCAATTGCCAAGAGATTTGTTTGTACCCAGCAGTCTATAAATGTCTGCTTTATCTGAACATGTTATGAGTGTGAATGTGCATGTGTGTGAGAGCATCATTTCCCATCTCCTCTTCTGCTGGCTATTCATCCTCCATATTGTTTTTTCTAGCTCCTTTTTTTGCCATCCCTGTTAGGCTGCAGGAAGCAGGGTGGGATGCAAGCAAAGGAGGTGGGATGTGTTACCATAGCAACAAGCTGACTCACGTGCAGGACTGTACCATTTTTTATGATGCCACAGGGGTTCAGCAGCAGATGTACCCTCTGGTACTTACTGGCTTTTTAGATTTGTGGCTAGAATGAGGAAAGGAAACACCCCTGTTATGGGAAAATAGGTGCAGCATTCACAGACTTTGGGTGGCTAATGATGGAGAAAGGGGAGGGAGAGAGGGCTGTTATGGCTGTTTGTGATATTTTTTCTAATCTGTGCTACCCTGTGTGTTTTCTCACAACCGGTTTCAGCAAAATGTTGTCTCTGATGACTGTAATTCAACTTTGAATGACCCACTGAATGACCTGATTTCTATTTATTTTTTTATTTTTTTGGGGTATGGCTTTTTAAAAGGAAAAACAGCATTTTGGTGTCCTTTTGTCATTTCTTTGTGCACTGGCTGAGCTGTTTTGTGTTTCTAAGCAACACTGATCATGTATTACTTCCTGAAATGTGTTCATATGCATAAATGGCAAGGTTATATAATGTACAGTTTAATGTATAATCCCAGTGTAATGAAAAGCAGTTGATGCTTTGCTTTGTCTTAGAAGCTCAGAGCTCCCCCGCTAAGATACTCATCACACATGTCAGATGTGACAAATGTGGGGCACAGTGCAAAGAATCTCATTAACATGGCATGGATTTAGCTCGGCATCGCCTTGAGGCCCTCTGCTGTTGTTATGGGGTAGTGGCAGTTTTTCCACCAGTGCAGTGGTGTGATTTGATTCCTTTGACCTATTATCCCTCAGTAATGATCACACTGGTGTTCCTATTTGGGCTAAAATGGTTGTTGTAGTATCCAAGCATGTGTGTGCTTCTGTTTAAAGAGGTTAGCTGATTGTTTTGCCTGTA